TACCTCCAGAGGAGCTGAATCAGCATTAGCAGCAGCGGGAAATATTTGCAGTAGTATCTGAGTGTGGAGAAACCCCAATGTTCCAGCACGCTGCTGCCAGTTCCCATTTTGGTGAGTTTGACCCAGAGCATTTAACGTTTCAACATTAGTTCTGTGTCTCATAATGCTGTTTACGTAATGATCGCTCATTTGGTTCCCATTAAAATCATGGTATTTCTTCTGCAAACCACTGCTTGTGAAAATCAAGCCACCCAGTTTTTCATTAGATTGTAATACAGGAAACAAACAGTCTGTCTGTAGGATGCAAACTGTAATTCTCAAACAGAGAATAGGGGGCTCTTTTTTCCCCTCTTGGACATACAAAGTTCAGATCTCAGAAGTAGGAACGTGAAAGATCTGTTAAGGGTCGCTGAGTCTATCTGTCTCCTGCAAAAACACAATGTAGTTACTCCCTGGTAGATGTTCCTCAGATACTATATTGATAAAAAGAGAGTCTACAGCTCTTCATAGTCAGAGTGGTAAGAATCCTTTTAAAGGATTTTTTAATCCTTTTAAAATTGTAGAAATGGTAGGTGTAGCTCTCGCAGGTCATCCCAGCGCTGCTACCTTTCGAGGCAGTGCAGAACGGTTCCTTGTATTATATATACCAGCACTTTGAAGAATTCAGTTTCAAATGTCTCAAACAATGGGGGTTTCACCGCTTCCTGTGGGAGCCTGCTCTGCAGCCTAACTCGTTTCACCATCTGCAGCATTTTCCTGAGTGTCTGCCCGCTTTTAACTTTCTTTTAATTGTGCACCCGCTATTTCTTCTTAAAGGTGGCTCACCAAAAGTTTCTGTTGTGTGAAATTCACGCTATGTGGTGCTTTTTTATTTTTTATGAGGATCAAGAAAACCCTAAAAGATTGATGGCTTCTTCTCTTTGCTTTTTCTTCCTCAGAAATAATAATAAGTAATTAATAATGTATTGCTGCTTTTCTAGCCATTCATCTCAGCGATTTACAAGGAAGGTCAACATTGTTGTACTCTTTTTAGAGATGGGAAAAACTGAAGCACAGGGCAGGAAACAACTTGCCCAGGATCATTCAATAAGCCCGTGGCAAGACTTGGATTTTTAACCAGGTCTCCACAATAGTGCCCTACTTTTTTTTTTTTTACTCTTTTTTTTTTTTTTTTTTTGTCTAGTCCAATTCCCTTTGGCTTTGTTGGAGTACCTAGGAAGGACAAGCTTTCCATGAACTTTATTCAGAATTGTCATATTGTAACTGAAAGGTCAGCTTGCTGAATATTTAACAGTTACTATCTTTCCAATGTGTTGGTTAAGCATCCTAATTAAGTAGTGATAAATAAAACCAACAAAGCATTTTAACAGACTGATTCAGTCCCTAGGGCCTCTGAGCTGAATTTCCTTCAGCTAGCCTGTGTTTTCCCAGTTGCGGATTGTCCAGATTGAACACTATATATCAAGCATGCTCTTATCAGTGCACTGCAGGGAGATTTCCTTCCTCCTCAGTGCCACCATGCTTACTTCACCTGTCATATTTCCCTTAGCTGTGGTTTTCGGTAAGCGTGTTTCTCAGAATCTGCATAATTGCTGAATTATAAATCTTCCAATTTGGAACAATAACACCGCAATCTGTACAGCACGATGTACTGGGTAGAGAGCGATACCCAGCCTAGCACTGAACAGGCTCACCTGGGTATCAGAAGCAGGCTGGCCTTAGCAGCACAGAGCTCTCTGTGGGCTGCTAGCAGGCAGGGTGTTTCTCCTACCTGCCTTAAAGCATCCGCTTGTCCAGCTTGTCATTTCAATGAATGTCTTTACTGGGACTAGATCTGCCTGAGCACATGGTAAGACGAGTTCCTCACCTCCCCATGGGAATGGCCGGGGGAGGCAGCCACAGCCACGTGCTCGCAGTCTGATCTGCAAGGGTCTCATAACTGCCTCACACTGATCGCGCGCTGAACTGACAGCACCCATCATGTGTGAGGTGCAGCACTCTGTATGGATCGAGAAATGTAAAATTAGAGCTCTGGGTAGGCCAGAGTTATATCTGAGGGGTAGCACATATATCTTCCTGGCTGCTGACCACTTTCAAAGTATGCTAGTAAGTGAAGCCCTTACCATCTGAGTTATTCCCCCCACTACTCCTTCAGACCTCCTTTATTCCAGATATCATTGAGCCAGCGTCTGAGGATTTACCGAAAGCTGCAAGACTGCTGTAGGTCACTGAGCACATTGTCTTTGCTTTCAGATTGAGTTTGAGAAATTACCAGCGGTGTCATGCCTATGCCTCCTGGCCATGTGAATAGAGGAAGCTAAGAAGCAACAATAGATTACATAAAGCAGGGAAATCCCCCTCAAACTTCTCCCAGACTATCTCAAACTGAAGTTGATTTGCATACATACACTACAAATAACTTTGCAATGGCTTCTAGCCCCATGAAAGGGTTACATGTGCTTTCCTATAATGATTTAGGCCAGTTCCACCAGTTGAATCACTCAGAGAAAATAAAAAAGACTGAATCAGAGCCTGTATAGAAATCAAAGTAGTTTTATGTAGCATCAGCGTACTTCAGGTAAGGATACAACTGGGTAATACTATTCCACACAAAATCAATGGGAAATGTTCAATACCTATTAGTAACTATTAGTTATTCTAGAAAAACAGTGATAAAGGGCTATGTTAAGCTTTATAATTTGTGATTATGGATGGGTGATATCATGCTTCAGCTAAACTTGCAACTAAGCTTCCTATACAAACCCTATTTGGCGGAAAATAATGGACCTTACTGAAAACCAGAAAAAAGCTATAGTATCCTGCAGTTGAAACCTATAGCCAGCTGCTTTACAAAATCTGAGACTCATTAGGCCTGGAATTCCTGAGCAATGTGGTTCAAAAAGCAGTGGTGTTAAACAGACTTCCAAAATTCCTGTGATTTTTTTAAATGTCATGGTTGAACAGAAACAAACAAGTGAGCAAGAAAGAGATAGCTTATTGAAAATGCATATTTACTGAGTTATCTCAGGCTCAAAAATGTAGTTGGCTAATATGACACTACAAAAATCTTTTACATTATCTTTGATGCACTAAGAATGACAATGTTTATAAGCCTAGTACATCATGACTACCTAATGCCTAAATTCTGCTTGAAGACAGATGGTATTTTCTGTTCCCTTGCTGAGAGAGTGGGCTGTTGGGGTTTGGGGGGTTTGTTTGTTTGTTTGTTTGCTTTAATAGGATAAAAATATAAAGTTCCCAAAGGCTCACTAAGAGCTGTTTCTTTGGAAGGAATTTGCTCACCTACTCCCTTTCCTAGCTTTCTACTGAAACAAGTTCTCAGATACATTGCCTGCCAGCCCTCTCCCAAAGCTAGAAGAGTGTAGACAACTGCACTGATTCTTTAGGCTCTCCCAGTAAATTCACAGAAGGATTTTCCATGCGTTTTCTGGGTTGTCAAGACAGCTCTACATTAAAATTACGTATAGTTGGGTAGGGATATAATTTTAAACAATGCTGTAGATGCCTTGCAGTAAATACCAAAGCTGTTTTAAACAGTCTTAGAGGTGCTTTTGTTGGTATAACATATTTCCCTTGAGGAATTCATCAAAGGTGTATTGGCAAAAGTGGGGTTTGTTCTACCTGCATTAGGGTTTTCATCATTGTCAGTATAATTATACCAGGACAGCTATATGACTAACGCTTTTCTAGCATATTTGCTTTTCATATAGTTAACAAACAGAGCTAGAGAGGAGGAGGAAAACTGAGACACAGCTTCCCTTGACAACCTGTGTAAGCCTTGTGTTTCTTCTACAATATCACCTCCATTAATATTAATAATGTCATGGCCTGTTGCACTGGAATACTTTGCCTTTCACTCTCCTCCTTTCAGCTTTATTGACTTTACAGAACAATAGGAATCGGCCCAGGTATGAACTGGCAGTTCTGTGGAGTCCTTCAGGCAGCTGAGGGCTCCCTGTGCTACGATGGAGCTTGTCTCATGTGCTACGATGGAGCTGTAGAGATCGGAAATATGTATTTCAATAGGCCTGGGACACCTTGCAATGCAGTTAATAGCAGCAAACATGTCATGAGGACATGACATCATCTGACTGATGATTCATTAGTACCTTGAATATTTTGGTCCTGATAACTGTGTGTGTTTCTTCAGTTTGTGTTCTTTTCATCAGCTTGCAGGTTGATCAAGAAGGTTTTCATTTTGTTTTTTAATATCTCCTCTCACAAACCACAGTCCATTTTCCACATAAGGTGTCTAATCTAATATAATATTCTGTATTTACATAGACAACTTCATCCCAAAGCACTTTACAGCCTGGCACTGACATGGGACTAAGATTAGAAGAGGAACAGCTCATACTGGTTAGGAAGCAGGCTCTGCTCTCAGCCTAGGTATTAGTAAAGCATATAGGGTGGAGCCATAATACTTTCTCTGAATCCAAGGCAATTTGCTAATAGTTGGAAAATATATTGGTATATGCTGTGCTCTGTTTAACTCTAGGAAATGTGTTTGAACTGTAGAAAATAAGCTGTGGTAGAGAATGTCAGTCCTCTTGCACATCCCATTCTCTGTTCATAGGCACTGGCTACCAAAAAACAGTTTTATTGGAAAATTAGGGTGATGCAAAGGTCCTCAGCAAGTATACGCTGACCTTTGAAGAGCTCTGCCAAAGGATGGTAGAGGGGCCTGGACTAGTCTAAGGTTTGGCTCCAGAGCATGAGAGTAGCATCAGAAACTTTGCCAGCCACAATGAGAAGGAGAGTCTGGACACTGGGAACTAGAAGGGCAGGCAGCAGGAAGAGGATCGTTACGTATAAGTCAATCTGTTTTCAGCAAGTCTGTGAAATTAGTTCATACTGAACTAATTACCTTGATTTGTTTTGTGGATTTCCAAGTGGTTGTTCGCTGGAGGAAATGGTAACTTCGTGATCTCATTCTGACACGGTGGCATTGAGCTATCTGTCTTTATTGTGTGTTTCAGATGGAAAGGATCAAACAATTTTAACCTGGGAAGGAACCAATCCTGCCCTGCAGACCATACGAGTGAGAAACACTGCCTTGAAAGACACTTTACTTGATGCTGCTTTACCCAGCACTATTGGTGAGACTCCAAGCAATACATCCAATCTATAGAAAGGACAAATGAAACCTCCACTAAGAAATGAATGAATTACATCATTGGTTTTCAAAAATCCGGTGAAGCAGAGAGTGAGCATTCTTCTTCTTTTGTCTCTTTAAAGACTAACTTTAAAACCAAGTGCTGTTCTTTGTATGCATGGGGCCATACTTAACTCTGAACTTATGAAAATCCTGTATTTTGTTCAGCTTAATTTAAGTGATGTAGTAATAAAAGCCTATGAACAGCACACATGCTACTGAAGAAGCATAGGCCACACGTGCCTTCCTAATTTACCCCATCACCTCACCAATCTGGAGGAACCCACAGCCAAACACACAAGAGCACTTGGTTGTCCACAGCCCATAACATAGTGAAATGTTCACTTCTGCTTTTCAAGAGAAATGATAAACCCACGCATTGGCTTGATTAAGAAGCAATAATTCAGTGAGCCCTTATTCCTGTAACTCACTTGAAAATCATCGAAGATGATGTAACAGAGTTGCTAATAGCCGGGCTCTGACAGTTCAGAATGCAAGGAGAACAGGTAGCAATCCAAAAGGTGGGAAGATCCGTGTGTATTACAGCTGCTTAGCTTCCTGTCTTCAAAGCACTTTTGAAGTATTCACAACGTGACTGCAAACCACAGAACTATTTACTCACCTTACAGACTTAGAGATTGTATGACTTGCTCAAGGCTGCTGAAGGCATCGCTGGCTGCGCTGTGTTCAGGATCAAGTTGTTCCCGGCTCTCAAGCCTCACATCCCTAAGGGAAAGCCATGGGTTCAGTTAGTGCCGACTGCCGATGCACAGTCGCCATTGGCCTGAGAGACTGGTTCTGCCCTCTGCAGTCACAGGGAAAGCCTCCCTGAGCAACCTCTTGAAAAGCAGAGTAACCTGTACAGAAATATGGGAGGTCTGGAGTACTGCCAAAGTAGCTGTTGGTAACCCAGCAAGGAAATCAGCTGCAGTGGGGCCACCTGTGGTAGTGAGGCAAGCAGGTTGTCATTTGCTGTTTGCTAGGCAGTCTTTGGGTGACGAGAGAGTTCCTGGGGAGCACATGGCCCCTATTAAAAAGTACTGCACACCCTTATCATGGCAGTGCAAGAGACTGAGAAGCTGATGGGATGTGGAAGCTGATGTCATGTCACTCCCAGCCACCAAACAGGATGGCATGGAGAAGGCTACTCTGCAGCTATCTACTTACATGCCCGCTCACGCAGCTTTGGGCTCTGCTTTAACAAGGAAGTTTCCATCACAACAAGGAAGCTATTCCATTTCAAGAAGCTACTTTTAAAAGCTAATATGTTTCATCTTGGGGAAGAGCAATTCTCTAGCTTCAGTGTCACCAGTTTTGTGCTTTGAAGATACCTTTGTAAAATTTAATTTTAATTTTGTTTTAACTGAAGTTTAGACTTTCTTCCTGACAGTGCTGCACTACTGGCCGTTCAGTCAAACCCTGCTGAACTTCCTTGTAGCCATTTTATCTGGGTATCTTGTAAATATTTGGTAGAGCACTCAGACACAGAAGTGTTTTTTGCTTTTACAGTCACATGCCTGGTTCCAGGACCTTCCAGAAGCACAAAAGACTGAAGGCAGGGAAAATTCCACTGAGATGCATTCGAGTCTCCAGGGAGCAACTGCGCTTTGTTTAGACTAACATTTCTCATTGTTGCCTCTCCTTTTTTTAAAAAACATGGAAGGATAGAGAGGGGAAGCTGGAGGTTTTTTTATTATTATAAAAACCAAAATGCAAGCATCACTCATTTCTCTCGTATTGCAGGACCATTTGCGGTTGGAGACGGAGATAAGCTTTTTAATGCTCTCTGCACTACCTGGGAAATTTCCATCCAAGTTCTAAAATGTTTTACAAACATTAATGAATTAAAGCTTCATCCCCTTCTTCTCAGCCCCATGAAGCAAGTACTAAATACAGTTTAAAGACAGGGCTAATGAGACTAAAAAAGTTGTGCCTAGCCTGAAGTCACATGGGCAACGTGGCAAGAGAACTCGAGTCTTTGAGTCCCAGCTTTCTACCTTACTCCACAGACCACGCACATTCCCTCCCTTTTCAAGGCTTGCTGTACTTCCCCTTCTGGGATATAGTGAAAACATGCTGGCATCACACCTTGAGATAACCTTGTTAAAAAACAAGGGTTTTTTTCTCCCTTGGAACAGAGACACTACTCACAGCTGCTGTCCCATGGGATTAAGATGTTGAAAAGATCAGAGAGATGCAGGGGAGGGCGAAGGGGGGGGGAAGCAAGTCACTGCTCTGTCTGCCTTGGGCATGTTCTGCCTCCACTCCTGCCAGTGGAGTTGGTGTACTATCGAGAGCAACCTCAAACATTTTTGTGTGTGCTTCTGTATAATATTCAGGCAAGACTGTGGTAAAAATGCCATAATCAAAGAGAGAACTTGGCTGACAAGAAAATTGGACAGATGAGACAAGAAGTAACTCCTGTATTGGATATATGTGGTTTCATTATCCTTCTGTATGTGACCTGCATTTCTTATTGTTTCTTATTATCAGAATCCTATAACTACTGCTGCAGCCATCTCTTTCACCTCTTTGGAAGGGAGGGATAATCCATCAGCCAGTTCCTCTCCAGTGGTATGAGTCAGGTTTTTACCAGAGGGATTAATGGTCTGTTGAAGAGAGTTGTTCCCAACAGTGCTGAGCAAAAAGCAATGTGCACATGAGTCATGAAGTGGAAGAGAAGGAAACAAATCTGTAGATTTAAAGGTTTTGAATCATTTCTTTTCCCTTAGCTTTCCTTGTCCACACTGATAGATAACCAGACGTGCAAAAGCTGGAAATGTATTGACGGTGGCTGGTGTAAGCAGGACTGAGAGTTTCTCCCACTGTGCAAACAAACCTGAAGTCAGTTAGCCCCCAAAACCAGATCAGGGTGTACCAGCTATTCCAGTCCTTGTAGGTGAGAGATGCTGGGAGACAAATCAGATCACAGTGCAGCAGCCTCCTCCTGCCTCTCCTGTGACCCTGCAGTGTACCCCGGCACTGGTGCCTTTGGCCTCTTCACGCTGTTACCTTCTATGACAAGGCCCCAGCGCTGGTCCTTGGGTACACTTCTTCTGAAGCACCCTTCCCTGCAAATGCTGTGCACAGTGCTCATTTCATTCCCCGCTGAAAAGCTGCCAGACCTGAGGTGGAACATGGCAAGCACTTCGCCGCGCCTGGCAACTCCATGCAGCTGCTGAAAACAAGCAGGGAAGAAAGCGGTGTACAAACACAGGGGAATTTTCACATAGGCAGGATGTAATTAGCAGAGCTGGAATTTGGCCAGGACACTGGGGTTAAAACACTGGCTTGCAGGTAACACACTGGGATCTTTCATAATTCAAATGCGCAGGAGCTCCTGTTTCCACCTTACCTGGAAGATGTCAGAAGACTGTTCCCTATTTAATGTTCCTGGGCAGTTCTCGAACATCTGACACAAAGGTAAAAGTGTCTAATGGTGCTGCACCTGCAGTGCTTCTCTGCCAGCAACTGCCCACTGTGAACAGCAGCTGAAAGGATCACATCCTGACAGGGCTATGGCTGCATCGCAGTAAAACGCACCACAGCTGCCTCCATGCCTTGGACTTCACTTCACCCTTAACTCTCATTACTCAGTTTTCAGGCCGCAAATCCCCCCCAAACAGAAAGAAAAGATGATAAAATTAGGGCGGCTCCTCACACGTAAAACACAAGAGAGAGAATATTACCATTAGGTGCTGCTTCAACCTGATTCTCTGCCACTTGAAATAGTACCAAATAGGTATCGGACAACAGAGAATTAGATGAAGCACTTCTCACCGGTGCAGATGAGTGAGCTTTTCCAACTGGCCTTGCCGGTAATACACACAGCATTAAGAGCTCATGCCTCCTTCCTTCCTTCCAGCAGAAAAATCACGTTCAAAGCAGCAAAACATTTTTTTCCCCTTCATGATCTCACTTTCCGTATAAGCAATCTTTGTGTTTACTACGAGGATGTTGAATGTCCACAAAAGGTCAGGGAAGTCATTCATGAACCTCGTGTGTGGAAAGTCCGTACGACGTACCATGATGTGGCCCACAGTCTGAAATACACATAATTGCAAACCTTTAACCCCTCATCTGTCAGAGCTGCAGACGGTGCACAGTTTGAAGAGCTGACTTCCTCCCTGTGGTGCAGTGCATGCAGGCAATACAAGAGGTGTTCCTGCCATCCAAGAAAGCATAAGCTCTGCATCAGTAAGTCATAAAAAAGGGACCCCTCCTATGCCTGTGAGGGTTCCTCATATCGGCTTTTGGTTTGTTTGGATTTTTTGTATGCCCAGGCTGCCGTGCAAGTTCCGCTCTTTGTCAAGTGCTGCTTAATACAACCACCGACCAAACTTGCTGAGCGCACCTCAGTCAGTGGGATAACAAACCTACAGACTGACTCAAATGGCAAAGTGAGCTGGAGAGAGTAAAGTACGGGCAGCTGCAGGCAACAGGAAATCCAGCACTAATAAATAAAACATCTTATAGCCAGAAAGAGGAAATAAACAGCAGCAGCACAAACTGAGAGGACAGAAGAGAGGAACACAGCATAACTGTGGTGCAGGAATCACTGCATTACAGTGAGCTTATTTTTACAGAACGTTGTCCCGGTTTGTTATGTGTTCAGACTGAAAAAAAAGTGCCGGAGTGGGAGGACTGCTCAAAGAGAGGGTCTCTATCAGAAGAAGTTGTCAACAACCACTGTAATTAAGGAAGCAGCCAGAGCACACACAGCCTGAGCCGCCGCCAAAGTGAAATGAAAGCATTTTTTGTTTGCAGCCGTAGCCCCAAAGGATAATAAAAGATGGTTCTACCATGCCAAGTGAGGAGCTGCAGGGACACCATTTCTAGACGGCGAATGCCCTGCACCCATCTTTCCAAATTTACATGCCGTGGGGAGGCAACAAGTTACTCTTCCTATGTGCGCTTCCGAAGCACGTGCCCGCACACCCTGTCTGACTGCAGCAGCCGCCTTGGGAGGCTAGCCACCAGGCAGGTGAGCCCCCACCCACCATGGTAACGATGGAGGTGGCACCACCTGAGCTCTGCCCCCCCAGCCAGTGGGCTGTTGTGGCACTGCTTGGTCCAGATTGCTGAATCAGCAACCCTTAATTTTTCCCCCTTGCACTCAGCC